TGGTTCAGTTTTATAGGATTTGGGTAGGTAGTGGAAAATTACAGATAAAGGTGGTTTTTTTCTTGCGGACAGGGGCGGGGTCACAAGGTGCTTGGTGGGGATCAGTTAGGATGGGGCAGGAACAAATCACAATGGTGGAATATCATCAGTTAAGGCAGGAACTGACTATTTTCACTTCTTTTGTGATTCTTAAGTTGCTTCAGGCCATCTGGACGTATACATGCAGGTCACAGGGGATACAATGGCTTAGCTTGGGCTCAGAGGCCTGACAGTAACAAATTTTGATTCCCTGCTCAGGACTGTAATACTTATAGCTCAGCTGCCAAAGGCCAGGAGTTTCAGAAGGCCTCCTAAACAGCTGCCTGACCTTTTTTTTTTTTTTTTTTTTTTTTTGGCCAGAGATGGATTTTGATCTCTCTCTCTCTGTGGCCCTCTGGCCCCAATTGCAATTCTGATTGCCTAGGAAGAACAACCTTTGAAATTTGCCATCCACATCTGAATTGGTGAGTGTCTTTTTTGGGTACCAGACAACAAGGTCTGCTCCTCTTGATTTGAGGAATTCTAAAGGAATTTCCATCTGCAAGTAGGACAAGCCCAACTGAATGAAAGAGGAAAGCACTTTGTTTCAGTCTGGACACTCTTGGAGCTTAGTGGCTGTTGGATTATGTCTGGCGATTGTTTTTGTATGTGTCCTGTTGATTGTCAAAGTGGGATGGAGTTTCTGCATTCAGGCTTTTATGCCACTGCTCTAAGCAGTGTCCTGTCTGGTCAGTATGTGATGTTCTTTTGTGGTGTTTGGCCCCAGTGTTGTTTTGAGCATGGAGAGATTTGGTCTTAAAAATCAAACTGCCTTGGAAACTGCTTTACCCAAAATTTTGGTTAACAGCTTCATTTGAATTACCTATTGGGGCAAACAAAATTTATCCATGTGAGCATATTCATAAACCAGTGAGTTTGTATTGCTCTCTCATGGCTAGAGATCTGAGATAAAAGCTATTGGATGTTTATTTTTGTATACATGTTTAGATATGTTTATGTGTATGGACATGAATTATGTTATTTCTACCAAATCGGTTTATAAATAAAATAATGCTCATAAATTAAGTAAATATGTGGAAGTACTTTTCAAGGGCATGTGACTTAAGTAAATCTTTAATAAACAAGCTGTGTTTAAAATTATTGGTGAGATTAAAATAGAAGTGTCCTTGGAATGGTCAGCATACATTTTTTATCTAGGTTTTATATTTGTCTCTGCTAGATATTTAGAGTAGTCAGGATTTGACACAGAAGGTTATAAAACTACAAACCTAGCCAAATCCAAAGTAATTGCTGTGTGGTCTTTTTGATAAACAAAAATCACTGCAACCAGTCAATGAGACAGCAGATTTCTCATTCATCATAATTCCTTACCCCTCCTTGGCTTTCTGTGTGGCAAGCAACAGGACCTAGACCAAACCCCTGGCGTTTCAGTAACAAATGGGCAAATAAACTGTAGCACATCCAGATAATGAAATGTCAAGCCATAAAAAGCTATTGGGACATGGAAAGTCATGGAGGAAACTTATATATATATCAGTAAGTGACATAAACCAATATGAAAAAGTTATACACTGTGTGATTCCATCTATATTACATTCTGGAAAAGGCAAAACTGTGGAGACAATGAAAAAATCATTGGTTGCTAGGGGTTGTGGGGGGAGTGAGGGATGAAAAGTCAGAGCAGAGAGGATTTTTAGGGCAGTGAAGCTATTCTGTATGATACTATAATGATTGATAATATAGTTAACATTTGTCAAAACCTGTAGAATGCACAAACCAAGAAAGAGCCTTGGTGTGAGCTATGGACTTTGGGTGATAATGACGTGTTAGTGCAAGTTCATCAGCTTTAGTAAATGTAACCCTCTGTGGGAGATGTTGTAGTGGAGGAGGCTTTGCATATATGAGGAAGTGGCATATACAGAACCTCTCTATATTTTCTAATTAAATTTGCTGTGAGCCTTAAAAATACTCTAATTATTAGTGTGTAAAAAAGAGAGAATTTCAGTAGTGATGGAAAACAGAGACTTGTCTTTTTTTCTAGACTGTATTTAGAATATTTCTGTATAAGAATAATGTTTATGATGCTTGCTTTTTAGCTTCTAGTAGATAGTTAAGGATGTTCTCATAGCTTCTATCATTATTTTTATTGTTTTTTAAAAGGTTATTAAAATTTGAAGAAGCTCAGAATAAAAGGACAGCTTGTTTATCCATGATTTGGCATTGTTAGAGCGTTTGAGTTCATTAGAATCTCTATCAAAAATAACATGCACTTAGATTTATTCATTTTTATTTTTTAAGGCTGGATAGTATTCTATTGTTTATATCTGCCACATTTTCTTTTTATCTATACATTCATTTATAGGCACTTCAATTTTTTCTTGGCTATTATAAATAATGCTGCAATAAACATGACAATACACATAATTCTTTGATACACTTAATTCAATTACTATATATATCTCTCTCTCTCCAGTAGTGGGATTACTGGTAGTTATACTGTTAGTATATGGTATATGTATATGATAGTTATATACATATATGTTAGTATATGGTAGTTAGTATATGGTACAGTATATGGTAGTCATACTGTTAGTTTTTTGAGGAAACTTCATACTGTTTTCCATAACGGCTGTACTAATTTATATTCCAACCAATGATATATAAGGGTTCCTGTTTTTCTATATCCTCATTAACACTTGTTATCTTTTATCTTTTTGATAATAGCCACTCTAACAATTATGAAGTGATTTTTTTGTGGTTTTAATTTCCATTTCCATGTGATTAATAATGTTGAGCATCATGCTAAGTGACACAAACCAGGCATGGAAGGAAAAATACTAGATAATCTCACTTGTATGTGGAATCTTAAAAGCCTAACTCTCAGAAGTAGAGAATAAAATTATGTTTACCAGAGGGTAGAGGGGAGGTGTGGACTGGAAAACGAGAGATAGCTGCTGATGATCTACTGTAAAGCATGGTGACTATAGTAATAATAATGTATTGCATATTTAAAAATTGCTAAAAGAGGGCATTTTAAATGTTTTCACCACAAACAGAAGATAGCTATGTGAAGTGCTAGATATGTTATCAGCCTGATTTGATCATTTTACAAGGTACACATGTATTAAAATGTTATACATTCTACCGAATGAATATATGAAATTATTATTTGTAATTTAAAAATATACAAAATGGCACACCCTTAGTGTTGATATTGCCAAAATCTTTTTGATTTAATATTTACTAAGCAACATGTAATATGCAAGAATATGTTATACAAAATTTGGTGATTCTAATGAAAACTGGGAAATTTAAAGGGAAGGATTGGAATCCATTGTGCTGCAACATTAAAATTAATGATATTTTGTATTCATGAACCCAAACATGTATGCAGTTTATTGGACAGGAAAGAGTTAACTCAGCAGGCTTGTTTGACTCACATCCTGCACATTCTAAAGAAAGATCTGTCTTCAGGATTGGCCCTTAGCCAGCTACTTGGAGATAACCTCTGATCCCTTACAATATTCTGCCTGAAAACAGTGTTTTTATATCCTTGAGGCCTTGGTACATGTTGTACCAATTTGACCAGATGTGTTTATCCTAGCCTTGTGATATATGTTGAATGTCTGTTTTTCCTTTAGGGTGAGAGGCCTGGGATCTGTGATGTGGGCACTGCACATCTACATGACTGACTACCATTAAAAACTCTGAACATCAAAGTTCAAATGAGCTTCCTGGTGGCAAGATTCTGCATGTGTTTTCACACAATGTTGCTGGGAGAGTTGTGTCCCTGTGTGACTCCACTGGGAGGTGACACCTAGAATCTTATACTCGGCTTCTGGACTTCACCCCATTCATCTTTGTTTGCTGACTTAAGTCTGTGTCCTTTCATGGTAGCTAACCATAACCTTTTATATAACACGCTTTTATTGATTGTCTTGTGGGCCCTTCTAGTGAGTCTTTGAGTCTGAGGGTATCTTGTGGACTTCTTACACATTTATGTATGAACATTCCCAAGTTTTGTCAAAATGTCAATTATAGTGTATTCCTGTATATATTTTAAAATGTAGTTGTGAAAAATATCATAATGGGAAAGCTGTGCTTCAAGTTATTGCATATAGTCTAATAACTTTGGTTTCCCAAACAATAGCTGTATAAAATTTGCCAGATATGAATACAACCAAAACTGACTAATTTTTGAATAGGACGTTTACTTTCAGTTTGCAGGTTAGGTTTATCAGAGTTAGAATGAAAGAGTTTGAGGGAAGGGTGGAGATTTATTTAGGATTAAAGAACACACAGATCACTGTCATTACTTTTATTTTGGAAAATACAATAACATAAAAATTGTTACATTTTTATGTTAAAAATAAAGTTTCATCTAGTTTATCATAAATTTTTAATCAAGGTGGTATTGGACACTTTACACTGCTATTCATATGTTACACAGAGTAGCTAAAGAACATTTTAAAATGTTGGATCACCCTTGAATTACTGGTATAATCATGCTGTATTATAATGTTATGCTTTTTATGCCTGATTATTTGCTCACAATATATTTGAAATTTTTACAAGTAGGGTCAAAATAAAAGTAATTTTTCTTGGAAAAATTTACCCAATGGAATTTACTCATGCATATATATATTTTTGTATTTAGTATTCATTAATTTCCAACTATATACTATTAGAATGGCTACAATTGAGAAGATGGGCAATAACAACAGTTGACAGGAATATGAAAAAATTGAAATTTTCATGCATTGCTGGTATGAATGTGAAATGATACAGGCATTTTGGAAAATAGTGTGGTTGTCCCTTAAAAAGTTAAACATGGGCTGCCATGGTGATGTGTGTCTTCAGTCCTAGCTACTTGGGAGGCTGAGGAAGGAGGTTTATTTGAGCACAGGAGTTTGAGGCTTCAGTGAGCTGTGATCATACCACTGTACTCCAGTTTGGGCAACAGAGAAAGACCCTGTCTCAAAAAAAAAAAAAAAAAAAAAAAAAGGTAAACATGAATTTATCATAAACCCCAGAAATTCCAATCCTAGGTATCAACCCAGAAAAATAAAAGCAACAAGAAATATTTCCACACAAAGACATAATGTGAATGTTCATAGCAGCAACTTTCATAACGGCCAAAAAGTGGAAACAATTCAAATGTCCATTAGCTGGTAAATGGATCTATGAACCATTGTTTATCAAGACAGTGAAATACTATACAGCAATACAAAGGGAAAAAAGCATAATTACATAGTACAACATTGATAAACCTCAAAAGCATTATGCTAAGTGAAAGAAGGCAATTACAAAATACCATGTATTATATGATATACATTTATTGGAATGACCTGAAAAGGCAGATGTACAGATACAGAAACCAGATTAGTTGCTGCCATGTCTGGGAAAGGCACGGTTTAAGTGTGAAAAGGTAGAAAGAAACAGTTTGGAGTGATGCAAATGTTTTAGAGATGGATTGTTGTGATTGTACAATTCTATAAATGTATTACCAATTAATACAATTGATAGATTTATTTTTATGTAGATAAGACTTGAATAAATCTGTTTTAAAAATTAGATCAGATCCAGCAGAAGAGGGGGTTAGTAAACTAAAGATAGGAGAGTTAAGATATTTAAACTGAGGTTTGTGCGGGTATGAACCGCATGAACTTGTTTAGACAGTGTAATATAGACAGTGTAATATATATACATATGTGCATATATCATGGAGCAGAGGATAACATAGCATGCATTATTTAAGAGAGAAAGAGAAAGGAACAGATGAGAAGCAGTGTAAGTTTCTACTATGCATGTATATGAAGTACAAGAGAGGAAAAATAATGAAACGGCATTTAAAGAACTATTTCCTTGGAAGGAAACTCTGCATAGGTAGAGCTAATAATGTTATTAAAACAAAATGAACAAATTCAATAACAGAGGCAGAAAACAGATTAATTTAAATGGAACAACGATATGAATAACTATTCATCTTTCAACGTAAATTATGAAAACAGATGACATTTAATGGTATTTGTGACAGGCTGAGAGAAAATATATCCACCTAGAATACTACAACCAGTTGAAATAGCCTAGAAAATGAAGGTGGCCATTATGAATAGTGGACAATAAACATATCTCCATATGTCTTGTTGAATTTTTTTGGAAAATTTACATCAGAAAGAAACATTTGTTTAGCTTTTTTAGATACTGTTAAACAATACAAGTTAGCTGTTATATCAGTTTACAGAATCAGCAGCAATATGTGAAAACTCTTGTTTTTCAATATCCTTACCAATATTTGGCATTACTTTCTATTTTCTGCCATTCTGTGTAGTGTGTTGTGGTATCTCATTGGGTTTTAATTTACATTTTATTAATGAATAATTATTTTGAACATATTTTTACATGTCTATTGACCATATGGAAATCCTATTTTGTAAATACTCAATATTTTTTTTCACATTTTGAAACTGGCTTAGCTCATTTTCTTTCTGATTTGTGTGAGCTTATTTGCAGCAAATGGCATTAATAATAATGTTACTAACAAACACCATTATTTGAGTTCCAAATTAGAAACAACCCAAATGCCCATCAAAAATATAATAAATACATAAAATCAGATATCTTATACACGGATTGCTACATGAAAATGAAAATGAATGAACTACCAGAACATACAACAACATGAATGAATTTTACAAACATATTTTAAAGTACAAAAAATCAATCACAATGGAATATATAGTTTTCTGCAGTAGGCAAAAAATCTATGATGAAGGCTTAGAAAATTGTTGAACTTTATCAAGGAACATTAATAAATGAATGTAGAAATGAGGGAGACTTTGTTTCTGGAAGCATTCTACTTGATCTGGCTGATTTTTACATGGCTATGTATATCTTATACACATTCATCAAAGAAGTACATTTATGGTTTTGTCTTTTTTATATTTTTTATTCTAAGAGTTTGCCCTAACATAACAGAGAATGACAAAACATGTGGGGCTATTTTAATGCCTCAGCTTAACTTTCTGACTAATAACACCACTCAAATTTGACAAGGCAAATAATAGAGGACTATTCAACTGATTGAATCAATAACAGATTTATTGTATAAATGATTTACTGATAACCCATTAAAGTTTTCCACTAAATCTGGTCAAGTTATTTTTAATTAATAAGAAAGTGAGTTTTTAATCATTTAAAACTTTGATTTTTAAACACAGGCTGACAGGAAGAAAATAATTTGTTTGAAACAAAACATAGATTTCTATTTTCTGGCATAAAACTCTTGCAATTATAACAAAGAAGGTAGGTCACATGTTAAAAACGTTTGAAACTATTTTACTCTGTGAACTTATGTGGGAATTTTTCTTTCCATCAACATGCTATAGAAATGTTATTTGATTCAAATATGAAATTGCATTGCTTCTTAGCACCACTATCATGCTTCACTTAAAATGTGTCTCCAACTTGTAATATCATTTAAAATTTTTATCTTGTAGCTAGCTGTGCCATTAATTTAAAATGATGTGCTATTTGTGCACAGCAGTTTTGATACTCAGATAGGTCATTTCTCTACTTAAAGGAACTTCTGAGTTGTTGGCATAAAATTGTGTGTGTTTCAGTGGCATGGGAAGTTTTATTTTATGAAGCTTCATAAGAAATTAAAACCCAGTAAGTTGTACTAAGAGCATATGGAAAATTAAGATAGAAACAAATTTATTATATTTTCTTTGAGAGGAAGCAGAGGTAGACTTTTACATTTTTCGACATACATTAGCTTGCTGCATCATTAACATTTATAATATGAAAATTGTTTGCAACATATTTAAAATGTACATTATCTAAAATAAGAAAACTTTATACTAAACCTTATATTAAAAATGTAGAGGGGATAAAGATTTAAATGTATAGAGATGGCTACATCCAGATAAAGAATAATGATAAACAACTGAAATATGGGATTTTATCTTGACTGAATGTTTTGCTTAAATATTGAAAATATTAATTTCTACCATTTATTAGTTTTATTGGCGATTTTGTGTCAGTGTAAAGATCTTCCAAGAACTTCAGATGTTGTTTCCTTTCTAAAGCAATTGAACTAGACTCTTTTTGGAGACCATGCCTGTTGGTGTTCATGACTTTGTGTAGCTACCTTCCACATCGATTCTGGAATTGCCGTGAGATATAAGTATGATCCAAACACACCTAATAAGAACACATGTATTGGGACATGCTGTGTTCTTTTAAAATTATCATACTTATGATCCAGACACTATATAAGGTAACACAAGATAGATACATGAAGATGTTTCATGGAGAGAGAGAGAGAGAGAGAGAGAGAGAGAGAGAGAGAAATGACAGAGAGATTATGAGGGAGAGAGAAATTACAGTCTTCCAGCTCAAAGTGTTATTTTAAACAGAAAGAACCATTTCCATTTTGTCCATTCTTTGTCACAATTATATGGTGTAGTCTCTATAAGAAAGAATGCATACATTATTAAAACAATGGACACATTCAAAGCAGAAAAATAGACTGTAACTAGATTTTTGCTTTATATTCATAAGGAAATAAAGACTAAGAGATAATTATCTTATGAACTATTTTTTTGAAACAAAGAAATAAAAATTAACCAAAGACTTGACTCTATACTCTGAAGCCTGTGCAGACTCCAGAAGTTCTATTATAGTTACCCTTAACAATTAGACACCAAAGACAAGTAAGACCAGAAAAGTTGGGTATGGAGACCAGGGAGTTAGAACAACCAGATATTTGCCAATTTCACTGTTCAAAAGCAAGCTAAAGTTACCAGAATCTAAGGATACAACTGAGACACAATAAAACACATTATTCATGAAAGTTTTTAAGGTATTTCAAGCTGATAAGAGTGATGAGTAGCATCTATTAAATCAAATAGGTATATAAGGACAAGTATAAACACAGTAAGAGTATATGAGAAGAATAGTAGTGATAACAAAACTACCGAGTACAAGTCTAGAATAGGGACATTTTTATTCTGGCTTGCTATATGTTCTGTTGCCATCTTAGATTAATATTTTCAAATCCATACATATACATAATCAGTGAATAAGAGAAAGGAAGGATTAGGGGCCTGATACTAGGCTCCAGCTCAGACAGAAGCAGAGGAGCTAGAGTAAGAAGATGAATGGCATAGTGACTACCCTGATTTCTCCCCCTAAGCCCATGCCAGCTTTAGGCATCTGTTTTAAAACTAGCATGCTGACCTCTATGCAGGAAGAACAATGATTGTCAGGCTCTTGTCACTCAGGTATGTGGTAATGGGGCTAGAGAATTGGATCCTTGATAATGGGGGAAGGGCTGTGCTGTGCTGGAAGAAAAATGTCTGAGCCTATGTCAAAGAGTGAATAGCCAAGAAAAACTCATTATTCCACCTGTGGTGAGGGACTTTGAGACATAAAACCTTTGCAGTAATTTCTCCATCTCTTTCTATTTTATATAGTTTTCAGAGGAATCTGTGAAAGAAAAAGGTTGGATTAGGACAATTCCCTACAATATCATGATTTCAAATATGAAACTCAATGTGTGTTCAGGAATTTTGAGAATGAGTACGTTTTGAAGCAGACAGGTTTTTATGGTAGACATAGATTACAAAGGTCAAATGGTTACTTGCTTTCCTTGGGGTATACTTGGTGGTTTCTGGAAAAATCATTCCTACAGTCCTCAGGATGTATGTCTCAGGAAACAAGGAAGATATTTAATGAAAATATTAATACGGTTCAAAAAGGGTACTTGAGACATTATAAATAAATGTATTCTCACATGGAGATGATTTCAAATTACAGATTGAGTCATAAAACGTATTTTGTTCTTTGCGTACAAAACATTGTTAAAATGCCTTTGAAAGTTGCTGTATGATATTATATTTCCACCAGCAATGAATGAAAGCTTCTGTTGCTTCACATCTTTGCCAGCATTTGGTGATATCAGTGTTTTGGCCATTCTAACGGGCATGTAGTAGTATCTCATTGTTATATTAATTTGCAGATTCTTAATAATATATGATGTTAAGCATCTTTTTATATACTATGCATTTTTGTTCAGGAAAATAAAATGAAGTCCTGGTATTTTGGTTAAGTCAATTTATATAACACAAATGCAGGTAAAAAATAGCAATAGCATACAAAATAATAAAGTGGTAGCTAAAAGGAAAGTGGAATTGGGCCATGATCCCATTTGAAAATGTTCATACTGTTCTCACTACAATCTTTATGGACCACTGGTAAGTAGGAAGTTAAAATATTGAGTGCCATTTGTTGATATGCAACAAAAGTTGAGCTGTTTGCAATTGTTGATAACGTCTAAAAAGTTTGATATAATCATAATCCAGAATATTGATTCATGAACATTATTTATGGATGAGTTGTCAAAATAAAAACAACTTGAAAGAAGCAAAATATTATAACACACACACACATCTCCCTCCATCTTTCTATCTCTTAATTTTCCAAGATAACAGAACATTAAAATGCTGCGAACATTTAACACTTCTTGTTTTCTTTAATAGTTAAGTATGAGATAAAGCGTGGTGACAGTGTCTAACAAATGATTGATCTGTGTCCCACTCCTTCCCGGGAGATGTTAGAAAATATAAAAATAAGTTCTCTCTCTCAAATTCAAGAATAAATCTTTTAGTAAATAATCACAAATTTAGTTTGGGAGTCCATTTTGAGTAAATCTCTCTCACACTAAATTCCCTTATCCCTTTTCCCCCTTCACTCCTCTTTACCTATTTTACGTTTTCTTTCCCAAGAGCAGCATGAAGAATTTACTGAAAAACAGTAGCTTAAAATTTATGTGTAGACCTCCAGTTTAAACAGGATGAACTATTCACACTTTGATTCATCCCCTCTGCTCACAGGATGAACTATTCACACTTTGATTCATCCCCTCTGCTCCAAACATAGAAGTGAGCTTGCCGTGTAGGGAAGGAATGTAAAGTAGTGAGAGAGATGTGTCTTCAGGAGTATGGACTGTTGGAAAGCAGGGATGAAAATTTGCCCCACAGAAGGTGAAGTACTGGAACTGATCCCACTGCTGCAAATCATGTGTTGGGATTGATCTAAACACTACCTGAGGATCTGAAATCTATAAAGCTGCAGATCTAAAAAGGAAAGAGTACACAGAATAGTCACCAGAGATGAAACGTTTCCCTCCTGTCTCAAGTTTGATTTGACAATTTATTCTTGTTGTTGTTGTCGTTATTGTTCCAAAAGCTTGTAAGTACATATATATGTCTTGGATTTGGAATGATGTCCAGTAGTTTGGCTGAAGAAAAGAACAAAATAGTTTGCTAGTTGTGGGGGTAGAAGAGAAATAGAGATAGAGATGAAAAGAGAGATAGGGAGAGAGAGAATCAAAAGAAATCTACACGTTAAATTTTCAAAACTAGTGATGAACATAAGTGCTATCAAGAACCACCCATAAAAATCAAGAGTTTATGATAAACATTTTCAAGATGAAATTACAATAATGGAACAGTTTTACGAAGATGGCAAAATAAGTTTATTTAGAAAATTCAGAAAGACAAATAAAAATATAACAACGTAAAAAGTGTTTTAGTTTTCTATGGATGCATATTAAATTGCCATGTTTTAGTGGCTTAAAACATGTGATTATTGTCTCACAGATTCTGCAGGACAGAAATTTAGGTATTTTTCAATTGGGTTCTTGATTAAGTGTTTCAGATGGCTGCCATCATTATGTTAGATGGGCTGGGCTTTTCTCTAGAGGCTTAATAGGAAGAAATCTCTTTCCAAGCCCATTGGATCGTTGGCATATTCAGCTTTTTGGGGGCTTTAGGACCATAGTCCCTAATTTCTTGTTTGCTGTCAGCTGAGTACTGCTTTCAGCTTTTGAAGGTCAGTCTCAGATCCTTGCAAATTGGTTTCCACCATAAGCAGTTCACTTATGGTGAAAAAGCATGACTGCTTTTTCAGTGTCAGCAGGAGACTCCAGATTCAAATCTCAACCTTTAGGCAAGGCCTGGACTCTCTTTATAGAGCTCACATGATTAGGTCTGACCGATGATCATCTCTCTTTTGATGAACTTAAATTAATTGATTATGAACCATAATTACATATGCAAAATCTCTTTACATTTGCCATATAATGTAACCTCAGCACAGGAGTGAAATCTCAACATAGTCAGGAGTCCTAACAAGGAAAGGGGATTATTCAGGTGTGCTTACCATGTGGTAGAGATTTTAGGAACCATCTTAGAATTTTACCAACCAATCAGCTTTAACTAGAAGTCCAGCATATACTATTTGGCCTAAAAATCTTTTACACGTCCTTCAAGTTGATTTTAAATTAACGCATTTACTGAAAATGAGGGAAGATGTAAGAGAATTAGACCTTTCATGCATGATATCTTAACTGAAACTATAATATAAGATATGTAAAATCAAAGACCTGCATAAGGTACAAAATCTATTACTTCTCCAGTGTAAAATCGAATGTGTCATATTGCCTCAGATGTTTGAAGTATACTAACAGTAACATCGAAGTTATAAGCTGAAGCCTCAGGAGAATTGGATAAATCCTCTCCAAGTTATGAGCTGCATTAGGGTTCTAAAGCTACCATAACTAAGTGCCACATACTGTAGCTTAGAACACCAGAAATTTATTGTCTCACAGTTCTGGAGAATAGAAGTCTAAAATCAATGTGTCTGCAGGACTGTGCTCCTTCTGAAACCTGTAGGGTAATACTTTTTCATTGTGCTTTTCTAGGTTCTGGTGGTGGGTTGCCAAATTTCAGCATTCTTTGGCTTGTGAGTCACTCCAGTCACACAGCTGTCTTCTTCCTGTGTGTCTTTACATCATCGTCCCTATGTGCATGTTTGTCTCTGTGTCCAACTTCCTCCTTTTTATAAGGGCACTAGTCATACTGGATTAGGGTCCATTCTAGTGACCTCATTTTAATTTGATAATCTCTGTAAAGACTTTATTTCAAAATGCAGCCAAACTCTGAAGTACTAAGGGCCAGAAGAACATCAATGTATCTTTTTTGGGAGACAAAAGTCAACCCACATCACGATCATCATTAATCTTAGCTGTTTAGGTACTGCAAATGTTCACTGAGTTTATATACTGTGTCCATGTCCATTCCTCTAGCATGGTGTCACAGTCCTCAGGTGAAACGAATCTTGTCATATCAACTTTATTCTTAAATATCTCTCAATCCTTGACAATTTTTTCACTGCTACTACTATGCCTGCACTTAACTTTTATCATCTCTAACTTACACTATTACATTGTAACTGGTCTTACATTCACTCTTGACCTCATACAATCTTTTTTTTCCCCCACTGTGATCAGCAGTGTCTTTCAAACAAGTCACATCAACTTACCCACTTGTTCAAAATTCTTCTAAGACTCCCATTGTTCTAAGGCTACAGAACAAAATCTTTTCTTTTCTAGTAAGACTAAGTGAATTAATTCCTGCCTACCTGCCTCCTCAGTCATATTCTACTGAAAATAGTCATATTCTTGCTCTCTTTTCATCAGCTACTGAGGCCTTCTCATAATATGTTGGGTGTACAATCTACCACAGGGTCATTGTATGTATTTTTATTTCCCAGGAATGCTGTTCTCAACTTCTCTTTCTTCCTTAAATTGGAGAACTCTGATTAATCCTTCCAATCACGTCTCTAACCTCACTTCCTCAGAAAAGCTTTCCCTGATCTTCCACAAAAATATCTTCCTTTCCTTCTGAGTTTTTCTCAGTTAGGAAATTATACCTTAATCAATGTGATTATTTGAAACACATTCTTTGTTACATGAAATTGTGTACTTTATGAGATTAAAGACTGTGCCCTTAATTTCTGCCTTAGGCATAGTGTTTATCAATTAGTAAATGTACATATTTGTTGGATGAACAAAGGTTTTCACTCCATGGCACTATCTGTGATCACAGTGTGGGCCAAGTTTAGGCAGACAACAGCAAGGAAAACAAAGAGCTGACCTGTATCAGCACTTTCTGTCCTGGGCATTAGAAACCTGTGGTATACTAGAACTCTGGAGCAGTTCGCTTTGAGCTGAACTAGTCAAGTCATTCTGGTTATATTTCTGAATGCCTAAGGACTGTAGTGTTCATAGTGTTCAGGCAGAGGAAACTAGTCTGCAGGAGAAAAAAAGAAAGGAAGCAACAAGGAGAGAAGGAAGGAAGGAATGAGCAATAGGCCTTTCAAAAGAAACAGAGATTCAGATAACATGGTCACTGAGAAACAAAGAAAAGCTTCGGTTTCTAGTTTTTCTATTCCCAGCTCCCATGCCCTTAAGCTGTGTTTGCTGCATTTGTGTTGTGCAAAATTCTCCTACTTGTGCATGCCATGAACTTCCAATTTAGAATAAATCTGTTTGAGTAGTCAAATATGCCTTCACTCCACCAGTTCATATTTTAATTTTAAATAAAAAAATGACTATGTAAAATAAAGCAAAGGAATAAATATAAGCAAATTATTTCAACTACAAAAATTTTAAAGACCTGGTGGCATAGTCTTGTTGAATAAATATGTCTAGGATTATATTTTTATAACAAAGGACACAGCAGAGCTCATCTGAGCATGATTCACAAAGGATTAGAATTCTTTTAAGCTTTAAGTTTGAATAAAGAAAATTGTACTTTTTAGTAAGTTCTTCCTTTCAGTATGGTTTAAAACTACCCTATAAATTTATTTTGAATGCTCTGAGATGCATTTGATAATTCTTTAAAACTTTATATTTTTAGTGCAACATTATTTTGAGTTTGGTGTTAATGATACTCAATTGTTTATCTCTCTCCAAATGTACCCAAAGAACCCTTCCATTGACGTCTCCCACTGAGCACAAAATATGCTAATATAGTCATTAGTGTTTCTAATTTAAATCCATTAAGAAGGGGAAGATAATATTGAAGATGTTACCAATTTGCAAAATAACCTAATTTATATGCATTTTCTACTCTATTTCTCAACTCTAGCTATGTTGGCAGAGCTGTAAAATGAATTTAAAGTGTTTTCTTAAAATATCCTGAGACCATTTAAAGTAGAAAGACTCTAGTGATTCAACTATTCTGTAGAGCTAAAAGAGGAAATGTTGGCAGTTTCCCACAAAATTAAAACATAAAAGATGCCTACATACATACATGTATAGCATAATGCTCTCCTTCCTAGGCTTTCTTAAATCACCATTCCAAGTTATTTATCTCCTAAAACCCTCCATTTGTACCATATTTATTTGCTTTATGTTCAATCCAGTAATGTTGTTTAGATTACAAACTTTTTCTCAAATATGTTTTTGAGAATGTTTAAAGTTGTCAGGTATTAATGGCATTTGAAAGATTTTACAATTTTCACTCATGTAGATAATAGGTAGATAGAAACTATACAGAAGAAACAAAGCAATATGCTCTAGAGATTGTGGATTTTTGGAAGCATTTGTTCCATAAAATAGAGTATGGCCTGTGACAGGCATTGATTTATCTATGTTATCGTTTTACAACAGGGGCTACAGTCTTTGACCCCAAAAGCAATCTTTATGCTTTCTAGAACCAACAAGTTTGAAAATCTTGTTGTAAGCTCAGATTGCATTTCTGATTCTACCCTTAAAAATATTACGTTGAATGACCTTGGAGGAAATTGCTTGTGTTCTCCAGTCTTATCTATTTTCTAGGAAAACAATATATGTTATTGCGACTAGATAATTTTAAAAATTGCCTCTATAGAGGTGAATGCACTGGCATTTCATTTTGTTATTTATGATGTTCTCTCAATTTAGGATATATATAGAAATTTTTTCTTTTTTCCAGATGAAAATGTATTATATTTATGTGATGTTTGAATGAGACACAGACAGCTTTATTTTGGATTTTGGTTTAATATATGACTTATTCCCCTTCCAAAATAGACTGAAACCCACACCAAGGACATCACGCAGCTTGCCATAACATTGGAAACCATAAACCAATTTTTTGTTTCTGGTATAAACTTTTAATGCATATGGAAAACAGAATGCCTTTTATATAGCTTAGTCCTTCTTTAATGCTTGTGAAATGAATAATTGACATGAAAGCTAATTTAAAAGATCGATCAAAAACATGAAAAAAAGTTTTTTTAAATAAGTAAATTTACTTATGAAATGCAGAAAAAAATATTTGAGAGTATAGAAAGATAGTTTTTGTCTTATTTTAGTCCTATCCTATTTAATGAAGCCACCTTATGTAGCATCTTGGCTCAGATTGGAAATGACTACTGAGGAAGTTCTGGGGAGAGCCTAAAGAGGGAAAA